ACATTTTTAAAGAAGATGAAATGGAGGCTCTGGCGTAGTAAAATACATGTTTGAGAAATGGGATGTGAGCAGAATAGTCTAAAAAGAAAACTTCTGGAAGGGTGTTTCTACCATTGTAATATTTTTCGTTAGTTTACTGTAGTAAATCGCCGTTCCTAGCTTCCCTCTTGATCTAGTAACCGATGGCGAAGTTCGAATCAGTTCGAATTAACTTCAGTTTTAAATTTCTTTCGTCGATGCTACTTATATTATTCTATATTTAATTTTTGCTTTACTTCACGTTTTAATTCACTTATACCTATGATATTCTAATGTCCATTCTTACAGTCATGCTAATTTTAGACAACTTGTCCACGCCTTCTCGTCCTTTGAAGTATCCGCTGCGGTTCTGCGTATTGGACGTTTACAAGGGGATGAGTTCTGGATTCATAGTTAGCGGAAAGGTCGAAACAGGTTCCATTAGATCAGGCGATAAAGTGATTTTCTTGCCCTCTGGACAGACAACCGTTGTTAAAAGTAGGCCATCGTGTTTGATGTTTTACGGAATGTGGAAAATTTCGTTTTTTGACAGGCGTTCAGATTAACGACTGCAAGGAGACGTTGGAAGCGGGTGCTGGCGAGCAGTGCAACCTCCTGGTGTCTGGCATCGATATCGGCAGCATCGCCTGCGGCTCTATGGTTTGCCATCCCGATTCGCCAGTTCCATCCACCTCATATTTCGAAGCCAAGATCATGGTATTCGCGACTAAGGTTCTTATTTTGCAGAGTGCTCAGGTATATTCCTATTTTCCCCACATTTTCTAATTTCTCTTATTTATTGTTCGTTATTGTAGGTAGTAGTGTTTTGTAACTCCAATCAACAGAGCGGATACATATTCAAGTTAAAGTCTCAAGTGAACAAAACCACTGGTGAGACTCTAAAGTCGAAACCAAGGTATCAGAATTTTGTTTGTTTTATAAGTAGTGCTTGTTTAAGTTTCGCTGTAAAGCAGTAAATTTCTCCGTTCGCAACCGGAAGCCATAATTGATCTCCAATAATGTCACTGTCAGTGCTGACACGTACAGAACCTCTACACTCACAGAAGTGAACAGACAACATTCATAATAAGTGAACTTTTACAGGTAGGTGAATTTTTTGACTCTATAAGTGGACGACTTTATACCAAAGAAAGAGAAAGCCGGAATTGTGTATCATATGAACTGCATCATTTAGAAGGCCGAAAGGAAGATTTGAAATGGGATTCGTGGAAGGAAAATTGTCGTGCGTCAATCGGTAAAATGAAAAGGTTTATGCCGCAGCAGAATGTATCATACTAAGAACCATGTTTGTAGTGTGAGGTGGATGGAATAGTCCAGAAAGAAACATACTGGAAACAGGAGGATTCTGAAAGCTGTTATGACAGAAAAGACAGCTACATGAACAAACTGCGTTATTCACTCAACGATTACTACGCCAAGATACTTTTTATACAACATGCATAAATTATTGTTCCACTTTAAGATCTAGTTAATCCAATTTTGTTTTATCATTACTTTAGCGCCACATCATCTCTCAAACAGAGCTATAGGTCTGTTACCAGTTAAGGCTCATCATGTAAGTGGGGTTAACTGCACCTAATTTATTTTATTCTGTAACCGTGAGGTGAAAAAAATTGTTGTGGGCTTTACTCTGAATTCAACAGTTTTAGCGTGTCCACTACTCTTTGATTATGTAATACATATTTAAAGAATGTTACTGTAATTTGAAACTATTTCCTCTATCACCCAAAGCTTCGTTCATGATTCGCTTGTATTGTTTAAAAGGATCCTCTAACTTTTGAACAGTGTTCAAATTGCCAGCTCCTTATTGAACATATCTTCGAATACCCGTTGACATGAAGCCTAAAATTTTTCTGTGGTTAGAACCAGTGATTTTCCGAGCCAGACTGAAATGAAAATTAGATAGGAACTCAACGAAGCTGGAGAATCATGGCGGGAGCCTTTGACTGAACCCCGATGTCTTGATTAAGAAAACTTATATTGCGTTCACCTCAGTGCAGAAATGAACTAAATCGTTTGCGATTCGAACAGCCCTTAGGACTTGTACTTGCCTCAAATCATAGCACTTGCTTGGGAATGAGCAGCTTCTCCATC